GGGATTTCGTTTTATTCTTTCTTTAAACACAAAAAATCAGTTGTTGAATTTTTAAAAAGCAATAGTTAATTACTCTTCCAGATATATTTTAGCAATAACTGAGCTCCCTCAGGCAACTTGTTAACCTCTCCCTCTGCGTTCCATTTCCTTCTCACTGGAGCACATCCTTCAGCAGTTCTTTCAGTGGGAATCTGTGGGTGGTAAACACCTTCCCTGCTTTTGTTTGTCTGAAAATGCTTTTTTTTTTTAATGACACTGTGACTAAATTAAAACTTCCAGGTAAACATTTTACCTTCAGCTTTCTATAGATGTCACCCCTCTGTCTTTTGCTCTTGACTGTCATGATGAGGAAGCTGTCAATCATTTATTGTTAAACCTTCTTCCTTTTTCTAGTAACTTTTGAAATTGTCTCTTTATCCTTGATGGCTGCAGTTTCACTACAGTATATCTGAGTGTGGTATGTTTATTTCTCCTGCTCAGAATTCAGAGAACATTTTCATTCTGAGAACTTGGATCTTTCTTCAATTCGCAGGAATTTCCTCTTCAAATGCCACTTCTCCATCATCCATTCCCTCCATTCCTCCTGCTAGAATGCCTACTGGGCTGATTAGAAGCCTCTTTGTCTATATTCTGGGATTCTTAATAATTTCTTCATATTTTTTTATTAGTTTCAGGCATACAAAACAACATAGTGATTAGACATTTATATACCTCACAAAGTGATAATCCTAATAAGTCCATTACCCATCTGACACTGTACATAGTTACTATAATATTATTGACTATATTCCCTATGCTATACCTTATATCCCTATGACCATTTTTAAAAATTATATTTGACATTCAATATTATTTTATATTAGTTTCAGGTGTTCAAATCTATGCTTTTTTATGCTTAATTCTGAGAGTGCTTTGGTACCAGCTTTCAATTTACCAATTTCCTCTTAAGCCACCTTCCATCTACAGTTTATCCCAACTACTGCATTATTAAAATTTTTTTGTTTTTGTTTTTAAGATTTTACTGGAGAATTGGGGGAGGGGAACAGCGGTGGGGAATCGAGGAAGGGGAACAGACAAGTTGCTGTCCTTTTGTTCTTCAGTCTAGTTGTGGAGGATGTTGTTTCACCGGCCCATGTTGGTATTATCATTGCATTCTTCCCAGGTGAGGCAGTTGCTCACCGGCCATTGGATGGCTGTTCACGGTGGCTCACGGCAGCTTACGAAAGCTCACACCAGCTGCTGGCCAGCCCCACTGCAGCCTACGCCATCGCCAATGACTCACAGCAGCCCAGATCCAGGTCGAGTTGTTGTTCACCATCTTAACTGTAGAGGGCGCAGCGTCACTGGCCCTCATATGTGGGATCCAAACTGGGGCCCTGCTGCTCAGAGCTGGCGTCCCAAGCCAACTCCTAACCAATGCACCACTCAGCCGGCCCTGCATTATTAAAATTTTAATGCAGTATTAATCCCACATATTTTTCATTGTTTTTTTTTTCACTGTCACCATTCATAGTTCATTTCTGACTATTTTTCTTTACTATTTTGTATTCTATTTTGGTAGATGACACACTTTTTTAAAAAAATTAGTTTTAGGTGTACAAAACAATGCAATAGTTATCCTTTTCACCTCTCACAAAGTGACCACTCCCCTCCCCTCAACAACCGCCCCCTCCCCCAATATCATACATATCTATCACAATTCCATCGACTCCACTCCCTGCACTGTACTCCACATCCCATAACTACATATATATCAAATCTTAGTTGACATACAATATTATTCAACAGCAGCTTCAGATGTACAGTGCAGTGGTCAAGCTTCTACACCGGATGACACACTTTTAATAGTGCCTTCATACACAGAATTGAAAACATACCATTTTAAATTCTTTATCTAATTCTTCTGTAATATGAATTTCATCTTGAGTGTTGATTTAGCTCATGTTTTGGTTTTTGTTTGTTTTCAGGCTCCTTTTGAGGGGTTGATGTAATTTTTAAAATTTTATTATCATTTTTTGTCTCTCTCATGCATGTTCCCATGCAAAAACATGCACCCACCTCCCTGCCAGGCTCAGTGATTGGTGATTACTTCTTTCCAGGCTTCTGGATGTCACATCCTGAAGCAAGTTTTAAAGTGAGAACTCGCTGTTGCTGCCAAGTGATGTTGGCACAATGGCAGAGCTAAGTGGTCTCTGGACTCCATCTGTGCCTCCCCAGGCCTGCAGCTCCCCAGTACTAGAGCTCCAGGGGTCACTTGGTCACAGGTTTTACAGTTTCTTTTGAGGGTTCAGATATGAAGCCCTAACCCAGCCCATGATTCCAGCCCCAAAGTCTGGTTTCTGTTCTTGGTCTTTCATGGTTCTTGTAGGTCCCTTCATTTTGCAGGATGAAACTTCCATCCACCTGGGGCATGTCCGAGCCCAGCCCCCAGCAAGCCCAAGGTTTCAGCCCTGCTCATTCTGTGGCACGTGTCTGTTGTTTCTGTTTCACAAATTTTCTTGTATCTGAAATGAGTTGCATCTTCTTTATTTTCTCTTTTTATATTTTATCCTTGATCACTATATATTTTGAGGAGAGAGATTTATGATGCATGAATATACTGTACTATCTTGATTCAGAAGTCAGATGTTTTCATCTTTTAAAACATCATCACTCAACTCCACCCCCACCATGAACATTTCTACCCTTCATTTTCTGCCAGGGTCAAACACTGAGACAAGATGCCTGTACTCTCTGGGTAATCTCCCTGATTCTGTCTCTGCCCAGCCTTCACCACAAACCCTCAGCCCATGACAGAAGTTGGCTGTGGCCTGGAGAGATTCAGGACAGTGAGAGAGGCAAAGGTAAGAGACTTGGCTTTGCCCAACTCTCACTCCATGTCACAAAAGCCACAATAGGAGGAAGCCTTTTGGTGTAAAGGTTGATGAATGCCTAAACAAATTCACAATTAAACATGGTTTTCCATGAGAACACAAACCTTCACTGTCTCAGTGTTGCAAAAGCGCCACTCAGGAAGCATCAAGAGTGATAACTCTTCTGCTTGGGATGTGACAATTTTAATAATGTGCTAAAAGATGCACAACTTTCTGATTAACTAGGACGTTACCATCCTGTTACAACACTGGGTAAGAGAAGGAAAGTGCGAGATATGCAAACACAGGCCAGCTCATTTGGACAATTGATGAAGAAAAAGTCTCCTTGATTTTCAAGTGCAGGCTGAACCTATGCTCTGTACAGCCTTGGCTAGCCTGAATCTCAGCCTTTTCCAAGCCCCCTGAAAATTGACCCAAGGTACATTTAGGGGTCCTGTGGCACATACCCACCTCAATGTGACCTTTTCTTGTATCGCCTAGTCCTGACCTTTGAAGTACCACTAAGTACTCTAAAAGGAAGCTAGGAAGTAATGTCTATAAGTTTAATATGAAGTTTATATCCGTAACACTTGCTTCTCTCAAATGTGCACCATTCAGATTATTATCACACGTCAGGGTTTTTTGCTTAAACCAAGTCCCAAGTATGAATGATTCTATCAGTTTTATGTTGTTATTTTGTTATTTGCTTCCTTGAGTAGAAATATAGGGAAGGCAAAAACAGTGGAAAGGTTTTTGCTATGTCCCACTAATTCTTCCCATATGTCTCTTTCTCCTTTATACAACTTTCTCACACCCCCGCTTCCCAGCTGGGCCAGAACTATAGGGCTGCACGACAGTTCAGGAATGACACTCCTTCAACCATGAGAACGCCCTTCCACTCAGTTCTCTTCACTTCTCAGTACTTCCCACTCTGGTCAGGGTTGAGATGTAGGGAAGAATAAAACTCACAGGAGCAGAAAATCCTCAGAACTGGATATTGTTGGGGCATGGAACTCCAAGAAAGGAGTTTCCTAATGCTGTACCAGGGTCAAAATGAATGTGAAGATATGAGAGTCATCTTCATGGCCATCGTAGAGAGTTTGGACACACGTCTTGATCCTGCTGTGCACACCTCCCTGTCCTCTCCTTTGTCCTGCCCAGTACTTAGTGCTGTCCTCTGGGCTCCCAGGGCCCAACTGTGAGGCCCATCTATGGTTGCTCCTCCAGCATATACCCAACCTTCACTTACTCTCCTTCCAACTCAATGCTTACCTATCCTATGTGGAGCAGAGAAGCTAAATGACTTTAGTTAAGGAGTGAATGTCCCATTCATGCTGTCACCACCACATAGCTACCTTCACTGATACCTCCCATCTGGGCATGAGGGCATTTGAGTTTGCAACTCCTGCATTAAACCTGTCTTAGGTGTCTCCATGATGCTATTTCTGACCTCTCCCTGACATCAACAATGCAATAAAACCCTTCTTGTATCCACATCATACATGACCATTTTTGCAAACTAACTTCACATTATTCCTAAGTTTGCACGTGTCATAGGTCAGGTTTCCTGAAAACAGACTGAGAAAGGTGTGCATGCATGAGGTTTATTGAAGAGTGCTGTCAAGGTTGAAACCTATGGTGGAGGAAGGGAATTAAGAAAGCAAAATTAGACACAAATTGCTTATGATGCCTCAGATGACCCTGCAAGGAGGTCTAGAGCTTGAATGGCCCTGCAAAGAAACTGAGACCAGTCAGTCAGAACTTTATACCATCCATTGACCAGTCATGGGATTTAGGCATCCCCTCAAGGCAAAGCATGACCTTAGGCAAGGTGCATCTCCTCAGTTGTGGACAATTCCAGGAGAAGGACACAGTTGAGACCTGTCACCTGCCAACTCTCCCAGCAACTGTGGAGTAAAGACTCTGTGTCTTTTATTTTTTGTAACCCCATAAGCCCTGCCTTCCTTCCACATTGCCCACACTCAGCATGGACATGATGGATTGAATTGACATGCTAATCTGATGAACTCTGGTCAGGGAATGACTTTTATTTTTAGCAGGGCACACTTATTTCTCCTCCAGTTGAACCACAATGGACTAATCCAGGTTCCCCAGCCCAAGCCCACATCTGCAGGTGCCCATGTCAACCTACCCCTGTCCTCCACCACAAGAACATCTCCCCAGGAGTTTCCTGAGAGCCCCAGCTACTTCCTTGTTCCTCAGGCTGTAGATAAGAGGGTTGAGCAGAGGGGTGATCATGGTATAGAAGGCAGAGACCACCTTGTCCTGCTTGGAGGAGTGGTAGGTCTGGGGCCTCATGTAGGTGATCATGGCAGCCCCATAGAAAAGGGAGACCACTGCCATGTGGGAGGAGCAGGTAGCAAAGGCTTTCTGCCGACCTTCGGCAGAGCGCATGCGGAGCACCACCACCAGAATCCACAGGTAGGAGGCAGAGATGACAGAGAAGGGTAGGAGCAGCATGAGGACACAGCAGACATAGATCATGGTCTCATAGACGGAGGTGTCAGCACAGGCCAGTTTGAGCACGGCGGGGACCTCACAGAAAAAGTGGTCAATCTCCTGGGAGCCACAGTAGGGGAAGCGCAGGGTGAAGACAGCCTGGATCAGCCCGTCTATCAGGCCAAAGAGCCAGGACCCTCCCACCATGAGCCAACACATGCGGCGGCTCATGACCACTGAGTACCTCAATGGGTTGCTGATGACCACGTAGCGGTCATAGGCCATGAAGGCCAGCAGGAAGCACTCATCCCCCAGGAGGGTGAGAAAGAAGAGGATCTGGAGCCCACAGCCTGTGAAGGAGATGGAGCCCTGGCCCAGGAGGAAGTCAGCAGCCATCCGTGGCACAATGGTGGAGATGAGCATAAGGTCCATGAGTGACAGCCAGCTGAGGAAGAAGTACATGGGGCTGTGCAGGCGGGAGTCTGTATTGATGAGGAGGATCATGAGCCCATTGCCAGAGAGGGCCACCAGAAACATGACCATGACGATGGAGAAGAGGAAGAGATGCAGTGGCGTGTGGGTGAAGAGGCCCAAGAGGACAAAGTGGGAGATGAGAGTCTGGTTTTCCATCCAGGCCATTGTTCCTGCAGAGGGAAGTTCCAGGGGATGGTTGGGGTCTGGAAACAGGAGGGTTATGTTTAGTGCCAAAATAATGAGGACATCACAACTTTGCCCAATGTGTTGTTGACTTTTAATGTTAGTTGGTTCAGGGTAATAGACCTGGGCTCTTTTAAAAAAACAAAGATGCAAACTCTTGGTGTTGTTTTAACTTCTAAGACTTTCTGAATATAGTTAAAAAGCAAATTTTAAGTTATTTATTGCTAAAGTGGGTACTGCTTCTCCCTCTGCTGGGAATTGTTCTCAAGCTCTCATATTTGCTTCTCCTACAAAGCTTCAGGCCAGCCTCACCCAAGGATTGGCTGTTTCAGGAAAAAGTACTAAAGCAGCAAAGACATTTACCAACTGAGTGAACTAAATACTTATATAACATTTTGGAACCTCAGTTTTCTTATCTTAAATAAGAATAACAATACCATCTTATAGAGTGACATGAAATTGCAGGTTATAGCAAGCAGTGCCTAGTGGGTCAGAAGTAATAACAGCTAACATTACTTGAGCATTTCTCATGGGCCAGGCACCATGATGATTACTTTGTCACATCCTCACATTTAATCTTCATAAATGCTCTGAGAGATTGATCATTATCCCATTTCACAAGTTGGGAAACTGAGACAGAGGGAAGTTTATTAATTTTGTTCTTTTTCAGATATGAAAGCATAAAGTATTTCCTAAGAAACTTAGTAAATAAGAAACTACAGGCAATTCAAATGCCCAAACTAAAGGAAAAACTAAGAAAGTTATGGTACAATCACATGATAAAGGAATATGTAGTCAATGAGATATTTATGACATTTTAAAAGATATTGAGCAAAAATTTATATCTACTCAGTATTTTTAAGAATTTTTAAAGAGTAGGAGTATTGATAAATGAATGAATAAAGAAGATGTGGTATATAGACACAATGGAATACTATTCTTCCATAAGAAAAGATGAAATACTGCCATTCGTGACAACATGTATGGATCTCGAGATTATTATGCTAAGTGAAATTAAGTCAGACAGAAAAAATCGAGAACCATATGACTTTACTCATATGTGGGATATAGAACTGAAAGCAACAAAGGAACAAGATAAACAAATAAAGAAACAAAAACTCATAGACACAGACAACAGTTTAGTGGTTAACAGAGGGTAAGGGGGAGGAGGTTAGTAGAAGAGGGTAAAGGGAGTCAAATATATGGTGAAGGAAGGAGAACTGACTCTGGGTGGTGAGCACACAATGTGATATATAGATGATATATTATAGAATTGTACACTTGAAACTATGTAATTTCACTAACCATTGTCACCCCAATAAATTTAATTTTAAAAAAAGAATGGGAGTAAATACACCAAGATATTAAGGGTGTGGTTTCTTCTAGGTAGTGGGATTAAGGGTTATGTCTCACCAATTTATTTATATTTTACACATTTTATATAAGGAATGTGAAAATATAATCGTAAAAGCAAAGTTATATTATATATAATATCAATATGCAAAATTAGCAGCTTTCTCAGACAATACCACTAACCAATTAGTAAAAGTAGTAGAAAGAATAAATATATCTTATTCACAATTGCAACAACAATGTAAACTACCTAGGAAAGAACCCTAAGGCTAAAAATGATAAAACATTTGAAAGACATAAAAAAAGGCCTGAACAAAGCTATGCATAGGTAGGCTTAACACTGCAAGGATGTAAATTCTCCCCAAGACAAATCTATAAAACCATGTGACCTCAGCTAAAATCAAAAAGGACACTTGCAGTTTGAAGATGGAAGGGTAGAGTTAGAATTCTCTCAGATGTCACCCAAAACAGTAAGGAGATCCAGAGCAGAAGTACAGTCCATGTTGGATGAAATTGTGATGGCTGAAAACTGAACCCACAAGATAAAATTGGAAATCACAACAAAAAGAGTAGAAACTGAAAGGAGTGAAGGAGAAAGTGGAAAAAGGACACCTGTGAACACAGACCACAAAGTAACCTCTGCAAAGACAAGGGCAAAACCAAAATTTCTAGTTGGCACCAGCAGAAGCAAGGAACTAGTGTGAGGAACCCTTGGAACCCAATTTATTGCAAGGAGCAGAGAAGACAGAATTTAACAAAGAATCCTACAGACCAGCCATATTTGCAGAAGAGTTCTTGGAGTTCTTGGTGGCCTGGAGAGAAGAGAGGATGTGTATTAGCAATAGTCCTTTAGTTCTCAGCCTAAGCAGCCTGAAGATAACTAAAGGTTATATTCAACACCCAGCATCTGGAGAACCATGATATACAAAGGACTCCACTTCTGGGCTAAAATGGCTGATTGAGCATGGAATGAAACACAAGAAAAAAGTAATGATTTTGCTTCAGATGAAAGAATCAGAAGAATCAGATTGCTGAGATATAAGCTAGAGAAGAGTCTTTACGATATATGATTTTGTGCCTCTTGAATCTGACTGTTTGTGAGACAATAACATACTTTAAATAACCACATAAACATAACGTTGACTTGAACCCAAAACACATTTGTCATGGAAATTAACCAAGTGAGAACCAACATGCATGCACAGCATGTTGCAGAAACTTGAGAAATATGTGCTGAACAAATAGCCAAAATAATTTTGAAAAAGTTAAACAATGTCCAACAGTTCAGAGTAAACAGTAATACTGCTTCATCAGTTATCAAAATGTAAAGAGTCTGGTATTGGGAAGGAAGAAGCAAATTGTCCAACAGAACAGAATAAGTCTAGAATCACACACATATGTGGATGAAAACTTACAATCTGATTTAAATAATAAAATTTTAACTCTCTGAGAAAAGAAGGGTTATCCAATGAATGGTTTGAGAAAATTGTTTGCCTGTTTTGGAAAAAAGTTAGATCCCTAATTCATCCCACACACATAAATGAACTCCTGGCAGATTAAAGAACTAAATGGAAAACCATAAAACATTATTAGAAGAAATACAGGACACTGTGTTTATGACCTTTGAGTAGGAACAACCTCACTAAATAAGGAACAAAAAATGAACATAATACATGTAACATATATAATAATAAATATTTATAATGCTCTTTAAAATACTACTACTAGAAAAGGATCATTCCTTTTCATATTTAAAATATATAAATACCCACAAATCAATAAGAAAATGGTAAATAAAATGAGCAGCAATTCTCAGAAAAAAAATCCAAATGAACATTATCAGACTGCTTATTTCACTGGTAACTAGAGAAATTCAAGTTAAGATAGAGATACAACTTTTTACCCATCAAGTTGGTATAAAGTTTGGTAATATTAAGTGTGGGGAGGCAAGAACAGGAGAAACACGTACACATAAATTAATGAAGGACACGGAGCACGATAACAGTGGTTACCTTTGGAGAAAGGGTTAGGATCGGGTGGGAATCATGATCAAAGAGGGACTCTAGCTTGACCTGCAGTGTTTGAATTTTTGACAAGAACGTGTTCATGTATTCCTTCAAATTAAATGCAGATTGTCCTGAGCAGGTAACAGATGTATCTAGAAGATCTTTTCTCTTTCATTTTCCTTTATAGCATAGCATTCTTAAATACATAAAACAAGTAACAATTCAGAATTCTTTGAAAAAAGTAAAAGTAATGAATTCATATTTTAACATGTTTTTTAGAGAAAAATTAACCTTGACTGGATACCATTCTCAAGGTCCCTTCAGGGTGTTGTGGGGAATCTCTTTGTTACCAAGCCTACCTGACCATACACACCATGGTCACAGCACATAGGAGCAAATTGAGAAGTTTATCCCAGATAATGACAGAACTCTCATAGAGCGACAGCACACAATGCAAGGAGGCACAAGAAAAAGAGGGTGAGGGGCCAGAAAGGAGAGAAATGAGGGGAAACATTAACAATAGGCCCAGAGAGGAAGGGACAGATGAAAGGTGTAATGGGAAAATGTCAAGGAAAAGGAGACTATATAAAGAAATGTGACATGATGGAGAAAAATGAAGGAAATTGTTAGAATATCAGAAATGTTATTTCCCCAGAAAAGGTGGACAGACAGAAAACAAAGACACAATGCAATAGATAAGAGAAAGTAGACATGGTGAGGAAGGAGAA